ACACATACTACTCTATGACAGTGGTTAACAACCCCACAACATGTCAACACTGTCCTTTCTCATCCTTGGGTTCGCTGTCACCAGCTTTCCTGTCTCTGGGGCACGTTTGAGAGAGGCGGTCCCCTTTCCCAGAGTGGGGAACCCTGGCTTCACTGCTGACTAGATCATCCTCCCTTCTGGAGAGGGGGTGAGGGTCTGTGCCCCCCAGCATCATGTCAGTGTAGGGTGGGCCTTCTCAGGCGTGTCTGGGCCTCTGCAGCCAACCTTCCCTGCGCGCAGAGCACAGGGCATTAACAGTGGACCTGAGCCGCTTGGTGGGGGCTGAGCATGTCACATTCTGTGGAGAGATCGAAAGCTCTAGTCATTTGGCCCTCGCCTGCGTCCTGCGGCCCTTGTGTGTCCAACAGGCCCTTGGGGGGCCTCATGACCTTCCTCTCTCCCACAGCAGTGATGGGGACACAGACAGCGTCAGCACCATGGTGGTCCATGATGTTGAGGAGATATCCGAGACCCAGACCCCATTCGGGGGAGGGACCATGGTGGTCCAGCGTGTGAGTGGGCCCTCCCCTCCTTCCCCAGTGCCCACTATACCCCCCTTGGCCCCCACACCGACCCTTACTCTCTCCCTTTAGACCCCTGAGGAGGAGCGAAGCCTGCTGCACGCTGACAGCAACGGTTACACAAACCTGCCCGATGTGGTGCAGCCCAGCCACTCGCCCACTGAGAACAGCAAAGGCCAGAGCCCCCCCTCGAAGGATGGTGGCAGCGATGTAAGTGAAGGTGGAGGCCGGTCCATGGGGGAGACCAGAGCACCGGCAGCGAGCAGGGGAGCTGGGGGATGTTCCGGGGAGGCACTGCGTGAGCGGGGCAGAGCACCTGTGACCTGCTTGGACCAGGGTTTCCCAAGTGGGACTTGGGGCCTGGGAATAATAGCGGGGGCAGGGCCCCAGGCTGGGGTCTGCCTGTGTGCCGACTGCTGCCCTCGCTCCTCATAGTACCAGTCTCGTGGGCTGGTAAAGGCCCCTGGGAAGAGCTCGTTCACCATGTTCGTGGATCTTGGCATCTACCAGCCTGGAGGCAGTGGGGACACCATCCCCATCACAGGTGAGGGCAGAGGACAGGTCTGCAGGGCAGATGACACTGCTTTACAGAGGACCATCACCGCCCCCTCCTTTGGGCCTTAACCCCTGCCCTGGCACAGAGGCAAGGAAGGCTTTGGCGGCCCCTTCGCCAGAAGAGGTAATGTGGTCAGAGTGGCCAGGGGATTTGGTCACGAGTGGGAAACTAATGAATGGCCAAACTCGGACTTCAGTCCAGTGTTCTCTCCAGTCCTCTGTGCACACCCCTAGTCTTCAGGCTTTTCCTTTCCTTCTGGATGTTCTGAGGCACCAAGACCAAAGGAGGCAGGTTGGGGCAGCAAAGGACAGGGCTGACGGCCACAGCCCAGCCTCCTCTCCTCTCCTCTCCTCTCCTCGGCAGCCCTAGTGGGTGGAGAGGGAAGTCGGCTCGATCAGCTACAGTATGATGTGAGGAAGGGCTCTGTGGTCAACGTGAATCCCACCAACACCCGAGCCCACAGTGAGACACCCGAGATTCGGAAGTATAAGAAGCGATTCAATTCTGAGATCCTCTGTGCAGCCCTCTGGGGTAAGCCGGGGCTGGGAGGTGAACAAGGGGCTCCGGTGTAGCTCCTGGGCTCCTGGTCTGGGGAGGGCCTGGCTTGCCTCTGATCTGCCGACGGGCTGCTATTGCAGGGGTCAACTTGCTGGTGGGCACGGAGAACGGGCTGATGCTGCTGGACCGAAGCGGCCAGGGCAAGGTGTACGGGCTCATCGGGCGGCGGCGCTTCCAACAGATGGACGTGCTGGAAGGGCTCAATTTGCTCATCACCATCTCAGGTCTGTGCGTGGGGTCGGGTGGGTGCCGGAGGGAAGGGGCTCAGCTCCTGGATCTCTGTCATCTTCCTCAGCCTGGGAGGAGGGCAAGGAGCCAGGAGGTGGGGCTGCACTCCCACCCTTGTGGGGGTCAGCAGAAAAAGGATGGTGGGGAGCAGAGGCTGGACCTCAGTGAGGAAGGGAGTATGTGTGTGTCTGCCCCTCAGGGAAAAGGAACAAACTGCGGGTGTATTACCTGTCATGGCTCCGGAACAAGATACTGCACAATGACCCCGAAGTGGAGAAGAAGCAGGGCTGGACCACCGTGGGGGACATGGAGGGCTGCGGGCACTACCGTGTTGGTGAGGGTCCAACCAGAGTGGGCGGGGCACATGGCTAGTAGGTAGAAAGAAACAGGGAGGGCCTAGGCTTCATGGCTAAGAAAGCCTTGAGGCCAGAGACTTGGGGACCTAGGGCCGGGGGAGTAGTAACAGATTGTGAAGGTGGCCTGCATCCTTGCTGTTTCCTGCCCTCAGTGAAATACGAGCGTATCAAGTTCCTGGTCATTGCCCTGAAGAGCTCCGTGGAGGTGTATGCCTGGGCCCCGAAACCCTACCACAAATTCATGGCCTTCAAGGTAATCCCAGCCTCAGCCCCCTAGCAATGCTCCGAGTGTGGCTCCCACCTGTGTGCAGTCTGAGCCCTTTTCTCCCCCACAGTCCTTTGCTGACCTCCCGCACCGCCCTCTGCTGGTCGACCTGACAGTGGAGGAGGGACAGCGGCTCAAGGTCATCTATGGCTCCAGCGCTGGCTTCCACGCAGTGGATGTTGACTCGGGGAACAGCTATGACATCTACATCCCTGTGCATGTAAGCATGACTGCGGGGACAGGTGGCACCACCCCATCTGGCACCAGACCCAGGGACTCCAGCGTACCTTGTCCTTCCTAGATCCAGAGCCAGATCACGCCCCATGCCATCATCTTCCTCCCCAACACTGACGGCATGGAGATGCTGCTGTGCTACGAGGATGAGGGCGTGTACGTCAACACGTATGGGCGCATCATCAAGGATGTGGTGCTGCAGTGGGGAGAGATGCCCACCTCTGTGGGTGAGTGAGGCGCCCGCTCTCTGAGCCACATGTCCCCAGGGGGCCCAGGAGTGTGGCCTGGGGGTACAGCCTGCTCACTCTCCCTCAACCGTGTTCTCCCCTAGCCTACATCTGCTCCAACCAGATAATGGGCTGGGGTGAGAAAGCCATTGAAATCCGCTCTGTGGAGACCGGCCACCTGGACGGGGTCTTCATGCACAAACGAGCACAGAGGCTCAAGTTCCTGTGTGAGCGGAACGACAAGGTGGGAGGCTCTCCCCTCACAGGGCCCCAGCCCCTACCCGGGGCCAATTGGACTGACTCTCATGACCCAGGCCTCTGGGCAGAGTTTAGGGGAGGGGGTGCCTGTGGTATCTTCCTGGAAGGAGGCCGCTGGGAGCAGAGCACAGCATGTGACCGATCACAGCCTGCCCTTCCCTCCGGGCAGTGTCACAGCTCTCCACATTCCTCCACCTGGGCCTTGTAGCTACCCTCCTCCCCAAACATTTCTGCCTTTCATGGAGGGTGGGGGCACTCCGAGAATCTAATTCTGCAGGATCTCTCTCTTGCGCTCTCTGTCAAACACATTCATGCTCTTCCTTTTTCCCTCTCCCAGTTACTTGAGACCCCTGCCCCCACCCCCTTGTGACCTCTTTTTCTACCTTACCGCAGGTATTTTTTGCCTCAGTTCGCTCCGGGGGCAGCAGCCAAGTTTACTTCATGACTCTGAACCGTAACTGCATCATGAACTGGTGACGGGCCCTGGGCTGGGGCTGCCCTTACTGGACCCAACTCTCCCCTGACAGCCAGACTTCCCAGGCCGCCCCTCCTTCCCCTCCCTGGGCTTTTGCTTTTACTGGTTTGATTCACTGGAGCCTGCTGGGAACGTGACCTCTGACCCCTGATGCTTTTGTGATCACGTGACCATCCTCTTCCCCAACATATTCTCTCCCCGAAACTGTGCCTGTCCCCAGCTTCTGGGGAGAGGCACAGCTTCCCTTTCCCAGGCATTGAGTGGGCCCAGCCTTCCCCTACTTTCCTCCACTTGAGAGGAGAGTGCTTGGCCTCGGACCCCTTCCCACTGCTGCTGACTGGGCAGGGCCCCAGGCCCCTTCATTTGCATGTCAGGGGAGCAGGCTCCCCCCTTGAATGTACCAGACCCTGGGGGGGTCACTGGGCCCTAGGTTTTGGGGGGGTCACCAGCCACTCCAGGCAGGGGCAGGGACCATTTCCTCATTTTCTGAAAGCACTTTAATGATTCCCCTCCCCCCAAGCCCCAGGGAATGGAGGGGGGACCCCCGCCAGCCAAAACATTCCCCCTTTCCCAGCCCCATCTCCTCTTCTAACCTCTGCCCTTCCCTGGTGGTGGGAGGGAGCAGGGAGCTCTCACCCCCACACCCCCTTGCTTGCATTTGTATATAGTGAGCAGCAAGTAGCCTCTCTCCCACTCACCCCTCCTCATTGTAGTGGCCTTGGATATCCCGTTTGTTAATAAAGACATTCAACCAGCTCCCACCATTTGGAGCCCCGTTTTATTCTGCTTCTTTCATGATCCTCATCCTACCTGGGTAGAGCCAGCAGAGTTGGAATGTAGGGGGCAGGGTGGGTAGAATCTGCAGTTTTGTGTGAGTGGGGGTGGGGTGAGCGGTGCTAGGCCAAGAAAACCTTGACGAAATGACTGATAGAGGGCGAGGTATCCTCAGCCTCAACCCTGAGGACCCTGGGGACGGGCACTGAGGGCACTGGGTAACGCCCCCTCCAGGCGGCCGGCCAGTGAGGGGTAGGGCTTCAGGCTCCAGCTGCCCTGTGTGCAAGCCGGCAAAGCGGTCTCTACCGCTGAGCTGTCGGTCTCTGCCGCTGAGCTGTCGAGTGGAAAAAGACAGCTTAGGAGGCCAGAGGGTTGAGGGGCTGGGGTCTGAGGAAAGCTGGGAAGTCGCCAAGGCCGATCTGAGTGTGAGCCTTGCTTTCTGGAGGACTGCCCTGCTGACCCCCGACAAGGTCCTGACTACACACATGAGCACATACAATCCCCCTCGGGAATTCAAAATGCAGGTTTATTATTGGCAGTGGGAAAGGATCATAATACAGCGGTGGCAGCAACTCCTTTTTTCAAAAGCTAGTTCCTCCTCGAGATGAGTAGGAAGGTTGAAGGCAGAGTGAAGCAAGGGCTCAGGTCTGTATGCACGGGGGGAAAGGCAGATGGGGCACCTGATTGAGGAATCCCCCGAGGAAGATGAGGCCTGAGCCCACACTGAAGAGCACCAGAGCGGCCCAGAAGCAGATGTTGTCCAGGGCTTTCCCCATGCGCACCCAATCGGACACCTCCTGAGGAAGGGGTGGGCACAAGCGGAGTCATAAAGGGCGCTCTGTGCGATCCAGCGGCACAAGAAGGGGGCCTCCACAGTGTCCCACCTCACTAGCGGCCTCTTGTTCTCGCGTGCTCTCGGTCACGAAGTTCACGACGTCCACACAGCAGCGAACCTCGGGGGCGGCGGCACCCAGGCTTTGACAGAGGGCAGCTGGTGGGGGACACCAGAGCGGGTTTTTAGGAGCCTCCCGGCTGCAGGCGCCCACCTTGGCCGCCCAGGCCTCTCCGCTCACCGGTCCAGGTCCCTTGCCGGTACCGCTGTCCCTCAAACACGAGCTCGCTCCGTGGCTTTTTTAGAATCAGCTCCTCCGCGCGGAGCAGGATGCCCACGGAAGACGCCCGCCTCGAGAGCGAGGCGGCCCGGGGGGCTTCAGGGGGTGGCCCGGAGCCCACGAGGCGCGGCAGCAGCTCCAGTAAAACCTAGCGCAGAGCCGGGGCGGGGATAAGCTCGCAGCCTCGACTCCCACCCCGGGGCCACCCGCCTGGCGCTTACATGGCGCAGCCGCGGGGACACGGCGTGAGTGGTGGGCGTCCGCAATGACACGTTGAGCACGATGACGCAATTCATGACAATGAGCGTGGCAACCACCATGACGAAAATCAGGAACCTGAGGAGCCCGGGATGCATGACGTCACAGCATCCCCGACTCAATCTGACGTCACAGCCTCCTCACTTCCCCCCGGGTCATAGAGGGCGTCGCTTGTCCTCTGACCTCACAAACACCCTCCTCAACGCAGAGGGTGGAGCTACGCCCCCTAGCGGGTCCCGGTCGGCGGAGCCAGACACCTCCCCCGGCCCTCCTCCCCCTCCCACCAGGGGCAGCCATGAAGGGGACCCCCGGCTCCCTGGACACCCTGCTGTGGGTCTACCATTTTCACAGCTCCACCGAGGTGAGGTTACGCCAATGGCCTTGCCCAGGGGTTACACTTCAAGACTCTCTGGGTAGGTCTCCAGCGCCCTCACCCCCAGCCCTATCGCCCGATAACTCCACTGTCCCTGCTTCTTCTCCAGGTGGCCCTCCAGCCCCCGCTTCTGTCTTCCCTGGAACTCGCTCTGACTGCGGCCCATGAATATCTGGAGCAGAGATTTGGGGAGCTGAAGCCCCTGGAGCCGCGGGAGCCGGAGAAGCCGCCCGCCCCGGAGCTAACCCTGGGGCTGGTGCTGAGAGAAGCCGCGGCCAGTGTCCTGAGTTTCGGCGCCACCTTGTTGGAGGTGGGGCGCTGAGGAGGGCTGGGGAAGGAGAAGCCGAGGGAGGGAGATAGGGCAGCGGACAGCAGGCATCTCTACATCCCCACCGCAGATCTCAGCCCTGTGGCTGCAGCGGGAGGCGCGGCGACTACATGGGGGCGATGGCTGCCCGGGCCCAGCCTCGGACGCCGGGGATCCGGGTCGAGCTCTGGTACGGGTCGCCCAGGCCGCGGGTCAGAGGGCTCGACAAGCCAGAGCTGCGGCTGGCGCGAGCACCCGCCTTCTCCTCCAGGGGGCATGGCTATGCCTGTCTGGACGGAGTCTGCAGGGGTCCACCTCATTCCTGCAACACTGGCGACGCCAGCTGGGCCTCGGACCCCCAGAGGAACCGGTGAGTGAGCGATGAGTATGGGTTGGGGGTCCGAGGCGGCGGGAATGGAGACGCACTGAGCTGGACCGTCCCCAACAGAGATACTCTGGAGACCTCAAGGTGGCGTCCGGCAGCAGCGCAGAGGACGCGGAACCGGAGATTCCACCACTGTCCCAGCCCCAGCCCGCGAGCAAATAAAGCCCGGGAGGGGACAAGACCGCCAAAACTCCCAGAGCCCTTTGGGTTTTGCCCCGCCCCTTCCCGGACCGCGCCCCTCTTGGCTCCGCCCCGTGCTCGTCTGGCTCCGCCCTTCACATTGCCCTCGCCCTCAGGTGTCTGCACTCACTTGCCCAGCAGCGGCACGCTCAGAGACGTCTCTGGGATTTTTTGGGCAATTAGGAACAGGAAGACGGTCTGCGCGAGCAGGACGTTGATGGAGACGGTGCATTTCTGGCCGCCGGCTGGAGGGGGCGCTCGGTGAGAGCAGGCCCTGCTCTCCAGGAGCAGCCCTGGGCTTGCGGTTGGGGTGACTCCTTACCCTGCGCAGGCAGGAAGTAGGCGAGCAGCACTAGGCTGGAGATGAGCACGCAGGGCACGATGATGTTAATGATATAGAAGAGCGGCTTCCGGCGAATGATAAGCGTGTAGATGACGTCGCTGTACCCCGGGCCATCAGCTGAGCCTCCGTCGTGGCGGCGGATCACCCCTGGGCAGAAGTCGATGGCCCACTCGCCGTTCTCTGCAGAGGGGAGGCTGTCAGGTCTCTCTGGGGTCAGCTCGCTCCAGCCCCACACCCGAGGAGAAGGATGCAGCTGTCCACACTAGGGTGAATTGGGCAGGTGGCCTGGACTGTTGGAGCCATGAGCCAGCAGGACGGAGGCAAATCGGGCAGGAAAGGGTACTCTTGGTGAGGTTAGGGAAAGGCCGCACGAGAGGAGGCCGAACCAGTCCGGCAATAATGATTTCGGGAAAGAGGCAAGCTAAAGCTAGGTTGCCAAAGTCAACCCCCAGTATCGATGGTCTGGGGCAGCCTTACTCCGAAAGCCCCCTCTCTGGACCCCGTTGGGGAGCGGGTTTTTTGGAGCAGAAGGGGGCTTCACCGGTATAGTCCTCAGTGTCGATGTCGATCTTGTCGATGGTCTCGCCATCATCGTCCACGGCAAAGGTGAATTCCACCTCTTCTGCACTGTACGTCTGAGAGCTGCGGAGCCAGGGTCCAGCCCCCACCGGGGAAACTCAGGCCAGGACGGGTGCCTCGGCCGGCGCTGGGAGCTTGGAGCTTGCCCCGTAATAAGGCTCTACCCTTTTACCCAGGCCCCGCCTGCATGGCTCTGTTTCCACCCCTGCTTAGAACCCAGCGCTGGTGGCCCCATCCCATTGATTCGACTTTTTCAGTCTGGCTCCGCCCCTACCCCAGGCCCATCCCACAACTTCCGGACCCGTTAGTAACTCTTCCCACCGGAAAATGAGGGAGCAGTTCTGCCAGTCGAAGGGGAAGTAGGTGACCTCCATGGCGCAGGTGCTGCGGTAGATGGCCGGTGGCAACCAACTCACGTAGCCGCCCTCGAAGACCAGTACGTTCGCGTGGTAGGCCAAGCCAAACTGGCCGTCAATACTGTGGATCCAGGAATCGAGCTTTTGCACATTTCTGCGCCACCTTCCTCCTCCTCCAAGCTCCTTCTGCCCCAACTAGATGCAGCCCAGCCCCACAGGCCCCGGTTCCTCTCTAGGCCCGGCATTCAGGCCCGGTCCTCACTTGTTTTCCAGCACAATCTCTGGTAGCCACACGTGTTCTGAAGGGACCCGCAGGGTTTTTATGCCGCCAAAGTCGGCCTTGCTGTAGTTGAGTCGGTAATCTTGCCAGTCCTAAGGGATGGGGGACCTAAGGACCTGCCTGCAGGTCCCACCCGATGTCGGAAAGGCGTTTGGCAGAAGAAGTTCCCTGGGCAAGTCCCGGCACTGTCCCCCAGCTTTGACTCACGATTCCAATCCAGACGCTGGAAGTGAGGGTCTGCTCTTTCTCCTTCTGCAGACAGGAGATTGGGGTGACTGAAGTGAATTTCAGGGCCAGAGGTGAGCTTTGGGACAGAGCAGCATTGGGACCAGAAATGGGATTTGGGGCTCAGAGATGGGATTTGGAGGGTGGATCTTACCAGTGAGATGAGGTTGGTCAGAGTGACCTTGATGGTGATGATGACGGTGTCCTCAGGCCCCCTCACTGGTCGGCTTCCTGGGTCATAGTTGTCGAAGAGATGGTGATAAAGACGCAATTCCTCATTCTTCCCCTCACCGCTGCCTGGGGATGGGGTCGAGAAGAGGAGGTCATACGGATGAAGAGGCCAGCGGGCCTCTGCTCTCTGTCCCCTGGGTCTGCACAAGTTGCTGCTGTCTGTCTTGGAGGCTGTATTTTTCAGTGTCTGTCACCTGTATTAACGACATTAGACCTGTGGACCAAATATTATGTCTCATTTTCTGTCTTGGTCTCTGTCTTTGTCCTTGTTTCTTTTGTTATATCTCCCTGTGTGTCTGAATGCCCCCTGCCACCCCTGACCCCCGTCCATACCTAGGAGCCCCAACAAGAACAGGGCACAGAGCAAAGCCTCTGCCATCCTGCTGTCCGGTACTTGGGATTATTCTGAGTTTTTCAAGCTGTGTGTGTGAGGGGAGGAGGTAGAGGGTGTTAGTTCCGGCCTGGGTTGGGGGACTGTCACCTAATATGCTTCCTATCCCTGCTGCAGCCAGTGACATCTTTCTTGGCTGCTTCCAGAGGCAGCTGCCCCATCCTGTGTTCCGCCCCCACCCCCCATCCCAGCATCCTTTGCCTGGTCTTCAGCCAGCTCCTCAGCTTCAGACCTGAACCTCTCACAACTGGAGCACTCAGTGCAGGTGGGCAGTGGGGGATGGGGCGGAGGGCCCCAGCTTTCAACATGCAGTGGTGTCCTTTGAGTAAGTGGCCCTAGGTGATTCTGCCTGGTGAACACACCTGGGAACATGATGCACCCCTGGTCTCACATACTTACCCATGAGGAATGCACATTATCACCACCCATAACCTGGCCAAGGTCGCACTAATGCAGTTCTTGCTGGCAGAGTTTGGCAAAAAGCAAAGTCTCCTATCAATACCAAAACCATTGCCGTGGAGTCGATTCTGACTCAGCGACACTATAGGACAGGGTAGAACTGCCCCATAGGGTTTCCAGGCCGTAAATCTTTAGGGAAGCAGACTGCCACATCCACCGGGGCTGCTTACAAGTCTCCCATAAAGACCTGGTAATGAGACAGGAAAGGCGCCCTGGTGGAGCAGTGGTTAAGTGCTCCGCTGCTAAATTGAAAGGTCAGCGGTTGGAACCCACTAGCCGCTCCGCAGGAGAAAGATGTGGCAGTCTGCTTCTGTAAAGATTACAGCCTAGGAAACCCTGTAGGGCAGTTCTACTCTGTTCTGTAGCGTCACTGAATCGGAATTGACTCGAGGGCAACGGGTTTGTTTTGTTTTGGGGTTTAATGAGACAGACTGGCACAGGGGATTCGTCTGCAGTAACAGAGACAGCATCCAGCAAACGCAACCATGTCACAATACAAAGCCCATGACCTTCAACAACCTCATCCCCAGGCCTGCAGGCCCCCGGCCGGTCTCGTGTGGGCACCAGCCAGAGACGTCTGTTTCTCCATGCTGCTCCCTGCTGCCACCTTGTGGCCACAGATGACAGTGCTGCTCCCCCTCCCTCCCACCCCACACACTTCAACGGATTCTTTCAGTGTTAAAGTCAGCTTTTTGGACCACCCTGATCAATCACCTGGTGCTTATTTAAAATGCAGATTCATAGGCTCCATCTCCAAAGAATCCTGACTGAAGAAGATGGGAGAGGTGACAGTGCCAGGAACATGTATTTTTAAGAAGCTGTCCAGGTGTTCCTCATGCCGTAGGAAGTGGAGGGCTAAGTACCTTTTGCGCTTTACACATTGTTCACCCCAATCCAGAAAAGCAGCAACCATTATCCTGAATGTATGGAAGAGGGCTCTAAGGCTGAGGGCCAAGGTCACACAAGTAGACTACAGTCATGCATGAGGCTTATCGATCAACTGTATTGATCATGTATACCTGTGTGCCATTTTACACTTCATAAAACACTTTCATGTCCACTGTTTAATTGGGTCTCATCTCCCTGCTGGGAGGCTCTCATAGTCACCCCCGTGTTACGAATGAGGACATCAAAGATCAGAGTGTCCACGTCGCTTGTCCATTTCCCACACATCCTGGAAGCCTCTGCTCCCACAGCTGACTGCCTCATCATTCCACATTTTCCAGTTCAGACCCTGAGGAGGAGCCCAGCCGTGTGACCATCTCAGCTCTTTGCAGGGTTAATACGTGGATTGACTGCTGCTGCTTATTCACGGCCTCTGGGTTAGGGCCTGGGCCTAGAGTTGTGATAAATGCAGATATTTATTCAAACATTAATGGGTAACTACAAGGTTCCGCGCACAGGGCCGGATGCTGTGAATAAGACCGAGATGAATAAGAATGGCCTCAGGGTGTTATTGTTAATGGGGAGACCTAGGGACAGTGACACCAAAACTGTCCAAAGGGTAAAAAACTCCCCTCAGCTGTGGAAGCTGCAGGTCTGTTTGCAAGAAGCAGAGCTTCTCAGATTTGCCTTAAGAAAAGCAAAGTTTAGTAAGGGTTTACCATAGGTTTACACCTAGACTGGGACCAGCCACTCCCCACTCCCCTGTCTGCTGCGCTGTCTGCTCTGTGGACGTCTGACTACCGACCAGCCTGCCTTTTCTCTCTGCTCTGTATGTCCCTCTCTCTCTACTGTGTAGCTTCTGCTTTCTCATAAAACCAGATGCTGTCAAGTCGATTCCGACTCATGGTGACCCCATGTGTGTCAGAGTAGAACTGTGCTCCATAAATCCGTGGCTGTGATCTATCAGAAGTGGATCACCAGGCCTTTCTTCCTAGTCCATCTTAGTCTGGAAGCTCTGCTGAAACCAGCTCAACATCATAGCCACATGAAAGCCTCCACCGACAGACGGGTGATGGCTTCGCTTGAGGTGCATTGGCCAGGAATCGAACCTCGGTCTTCTGCACGGAAGGTGAAAATTCTGCTACTGAAAATAAACCAAAAACCAAACCCATTGCCGTCAAGTTGGTTCCAACTCCTAGCAACCCTATAGGACAGAGTAGAACTGCCCCACGGGGTTTCCAAGGAACAGCTGGTGGATTCAAACTGCTGACCTTTTGGTCAGCAGCTGAGTTCTTCAACCACTGGGCTCCTTGAGGCAAAACCACGTTTGGAACAACAGTCTGCATCTAGGAGGGGTGGGGAGAGGGAATAGAAATCCCTGTCTTTTGATCCCCAAACCCACATATTGCAGCCTGGGTCGTCGGTCCCTGGCATACATCATACCCTGCAGGATAGCACCTTACTGTGGAGTTGCCAGCTGGGGCTCTAACTTGTGGGCAGAGGTCTTGCTCAGATTGGTGAAGCCCATGGGCACCAGCCTTCTGGTTTGCTTCTATTGCCAAGCCAGCACATCAGAAATCTCCCAGAGGAGTCCCCGGGGGGGCTCTAACCCCCACCCCCCAGCAGTCCATTCCCCAGAGGGCGCTGGGCACAGAGCTGAGCACAGTCTTCTCTCCCTTTGCAGGGCTGCAGCTGCCTGCGGGGCCGAGACTTCCTGCAGAGTCAGTGGAGTCAGGCACAGGCCTGTGAGTTGGGCCTGGGTTTTGAATTTTTATAATTAACATTCCACAGAACCTTCGTGGACTGCCTAAGACTTTTCTTCCTGAGGACTTCTTGATTTACAAGCCAGACCCAAAGATCTCAGCCCAACAGGAAGCCACACCCTTCACCTACTGGCTCTTGGCTCACAGCTCGGAACAGCTGCAGCTGCCACCAGGGCCGTGCCTGCCAGACGTCTTTTTCTCAGCCCTCAGTGCCTTCACAGTGAGAACAGCCCCAAGGGGGTCTGATGAGAACCCCCTCTGCATATGACAAACAAGAGCCCCCCTTTTTTCTTTTGTAAACATGGAAAGCGGTTTGGCTGAGCCAGTACAGAGCTGTAGACACTAGTTTCTAGACTGTCTCCCTCACGAGAACCCAAGCTCCCTGCGTGCTGAGACCTTAATGAGCGGCTGTGTTTAAGGCGCGTAGCACAGAGCCTGGCACATGATGGAAAACAACCAGCTGCTGTCAAGTTGACTCTGACTCGTGGCGACCCCGTGTGTGTCCGAGAAGAATTGTGCTCCATAGGGTTTTCAATGGCTGATCTTTAGGGAGCCGATCATCAGGCCTTTCTTCCAGCTCACCTCTGGGTGGATGATAAACAACCACCTTTACGGTTAGTAGCGCAGCACTTAACCATTTGCGACACCCAGGAGCTCCGCATAATAAGTTCTCGATAAATATTTATTGAGCAAATGAATGAAAGAGTAAATGAAGGAATGAGTGCCTTATCTTCCCAGCACCCTCCCTTCTGAGAACGGGTCTTCTTTTCCAACCCTGTGACCACATAGGATCCGCCAGGTACTTAGAGTCGCCACCCTCGGGCCAGGGTTGATTGGTCCAGGGGAAGACACCTGATCCAAGCCTGGCCAAACAAAGTCCCTCCCTGGGAATTTTGTCAGATAGGAACTCAGGAAACCAATCTCTCTTTGCTGTAGGAGTAACAAGATGAAATTTAGACGCACGAGGCAGCCGCACTCATTCCTTGTCACTTACGTGGTCTGAAAGAAAATGCAGTTGATATACAAAGACAAGTAAAGACAAGAAGGGCGGTCAGCATCCCAGCCCTGGATCCAGAAATTCCTGAGGCCCAGCTACGCTCGCCTCCACCCACAAGCTGGTTACCCAACACTCCCTCTGCTTGAATGAGGTACTTCAGCATCTCCCCAAGAAATCCCCTTTTACTTGGCTTAAAACGATTAGGATTTAAAAACATAAAATAGTATAAAGAAGCAAAAGTGTTCTGTAACACCATACCCAGAAAGAAACTTTTGACAACAAAAAAGTCATACCTACCATCGCCAGAAAAATTCACGAGTATGGAAAGACATAATGAAAATTGAAAGCTTCTCTCCTTCCACCCAGTCCTTTTTCCCAAAGGTTAACAGCTTCTTGTAAATCCTTCTAGACCGCAATCCAGCATATGTATATTTATATTAAATATACCAAAAAAGTATGAATTTTAAGTTTTTATAAATGTTACGGATTGAATTGTGTTTCCCCTGTGTTGCAGGGGAAAAACATCACAAAGTTTGGTGAAGTAAAAAGAAAGTTTTATTTGGCATATATTCAAAAAGGCAAAAGTGGGAAGCAGACAAGCATGCTGCCACAGCCATGTCTGCCCGAATCCAAGGAATATCACAGAACAGAGAAGAGTGGGAAAACGGACAAGCATGCTGCCACAGCCGTGTCTGCCCGAGTCCAAAGAACAGTTACAGAGCCATCAGTATATATCAACATCACAAAATGGGTAGAATCATTGAAAGCATCACCTTTTCACTGATTGGCTAGAAATTGTAATCTTACGTTTTGAATCATCTTTCTTAACAGTCATTGGTACAGGTTTCAGTTACGAAAGTCAGGAGAGTCTTCATTGGTCCAACA